CTGTCCTGTCCCAGCACTCACTCTGGTATTTCTCCAGCCCAAACCCTGTGCTTCCTTGTGTCCCCCTGGGCTGGGGCCCAGTCCTTTCCCCTGTGCCCAGTCCTATTGCTGGGCTCCCCCATATGCCCCTAGGTCCCATCCTGGAACTCCTCACTACTTCATTCCAGTGCTCCCCTTAGCTCGGAATCCCTGAATCCCTTGGGGCCAGCATGGGGCAAGGGGTGTCCTAGCAGGATCCTGGAGCAGGGCTGGGATGCTTTTACAACCTGTTGATGGGACATGGCTCATGGGTACCTGAATACCTGTTGCCATCCTTGGCAGCACTGGGGATGGGGAATGCCAGAGGGGGCCAGTACCTATTCAGCAAGTGTCCATGTTAGTTCCTGAGTATTTGGGAAGAAGGAAACTGCCTGCAGCTGCCTGCTTGGGGCTGGCAGATTACCACAGACAGGGCTGAACATCAGCTGATGCCTCCTCTGGCAGAGAGTGCCGGTGCAAGGGATTTGGGGGAGCTTTCCCCTCCACTGGGAGCAGTTTGGGTTTGGCCCTTTGGCAGGGCTGGTGACAGTGCTTGGCAAAACCTGCCAAACCTGTGCTGGCAGGAGGAAACCAAGAGTGACTGACCTGTTTTGGGGCTGGGGTGCCCCATCAGACCAAGGCAATGCCCTGGGTGGCTGCTCTGCTGCAGTTTGGGCTTTCCCAGGGGAGTGCTGATTGTGTTACAGCAAAATAATCCAGTGTTTGGGATACTTTCCTGGGTTACCTCCACAGCTTTAGATAGTGGAGCTGCACTCTGTGCATCAAGGAGATGTGGGTGTTTGCACCCACAGGTGATCCAGGTGTCAGGGGGCACAGTTTCCCTCCTGCTGGAGCTGGCACTGCCTCTGGGGCTGCCAAGGGGCTGCCAGCCTGGAGGATGCCAAAGCTCTGCATCTGGTTGCAATAAGGGTGGGGATCTCATCTTGGTGGGGATCTTTCCATGCCGAGCTGTGAACTCGGTCACCAGGAGTGAAGTCAGCCTCCCTCCGTGCTGCCTGCAGCTGGTTCCTGGGGGACAGCCGCCCCGTAGCTCATCCCTGGCTGCTGCCAGGCAGCTCCCACCCTGCTGCCAGGCCGGATGGGGTGGTGGGCTCTGTCTCCTCCCCACTGGGCTCTTTCGGAGCTCTGTTACCCAGAGCACGTCATTAGCATGGCAGTGGCTATATATAGCCAGGAAGGATGTGTGTGCTGGGAATGTCCCTGCCATGGTACGGGGGAACACCAGAGGCTTGGTTGGACAACCCCCTCTGCTATTCCCAAGTTGCCAAAGGGCTGTATGGGAAAACAGGTACCAGGAGACAAGGCTGCCTGGGTTTGGCTGCCGAAACTTCCCCTCTCTGGGAGGCCTCACCGCTCAGGATGGGAACACCCCCTGCCTCGGTGTGCCACCCCCGTGGGAGCCACCCAGCACCCTGCCCCGTCAGGCAGGACCTGTCCCTGCTGCCCTGGGTGCCAGCAGGGTGAATCCCTGGGGAGGGCCGGGCGGGGAGCTGAGTCAGTGCTGGTATGCCAGCGATCCGGTTACTGCGCCGTGACGCGCTGGGCTCAGCTGGCTCTCAGTTTCATCCCGTGGCCATGGAGAGCCTGGTGGCCCCTTTTCTGGCTCAGTTCGTGCTGTGCTCCGAGGAGCATTTAGAGCACCTTCCAAATGCCTAGAGTGGCTCCAAGAGAGCTGGAGAGGGACTTGCCACAAGGGCTTGGAGTGGCAGGATGAGGGGGAATGGCTTCACACTGGCAGAGGGCAGGGTTAGATTGGATATTAGGGAGAAATTCTTCCCTGTGAGGGTGCTGAAGCACTGGCACAGGTTGCCCAGAGAAGATGTGGCTGCTCCATCCCTGGAAGTGTTCGAGGCCCGATTGGATGGAACTTGGAGCAACCTGGTCTAGTGGAAAGTGTCCCTGCCCATGGCAGGGGGTTTGGAATTAGATGAGGTTTATGGTCCCTTCCAATCCCAACCATTCTGATTCCATGATGCTGGACCTCCCTGGAGATCCCTCCCTGCATCCTCCCTGGGCAGAGGAGCAGCTGGCTGCCTGCAGGCAGGGCTGTGTGCCCCAAAGCCCTCCCTGCTGGCTCCAGGATCCCTGTGCTGGGGCGTCGGTGGGTGGAGGCGGCAGGCGGGGACCAGCTTTCCCTTCTCCTCACTCTGGGGAGAAGCTGATGCTGCCAGGGAAGGGGGGCCTTGGGCACAGCTGTGGAGCCCATTGCTGGTCCCCTCCCTGTGGCTGTGATGGGGATCCTGAGGCTCCAGCCAGGCTCCCTCTCTAAGTCATCTCCACTGTGTTCCAGGCTTGGCCTGTTTCAGCTGTGTGGGTGCCGACGCCAACGTCACTACCGGGCACGGCACAGAGGAGCTCACCTGTGGCACGGCCAAGGGATGCACAGGTAAGGTGGAGGTGTGAGGGTGCTCAGGGAAGCTGGAGGCATTGGGTGGGAGGTGTGAGGGAGTGTGCTGGGATGGTGGATGGGCAGGTGTTTTGTCTAGTGTAGCCATGTGGTATCCACCAAGCTGGAAAGCCAAAGGATGCACATGCTGGAGGCTCTTTGCAGCAAGACAGGCTGCCGTGGGGATGGACCAGCTTCGGGATGCTAATGCCTCCAGGCAGAACCATAACCCCCACAGGGCATTCTTTGTCCTTGTCACCCACAGGGAACGGGACACAGCTGCGGCGGCAGAGCCACTTCTCCCGGTGCCCAGAGGAGTACAGGCACTACTGCGTCAAAGGGAGGTGTCGCTTCCTCGTGGCTGAGGAGGCACCTGCTT